TAATCCAATAATGTATTATTTATTATGATGCAAATACTATATATTAAAAATAATATTTGTTGATATATAATAATCTAATAAAAAAATTGCTCAAACAAAAAGAAATGATAAAAAGAATCAACTAAAAGAAATTAATAATCTAATAAAATAATGTTTTGTAAAATGTAACAATCTCATAACATAATATTTATTATGATATAAATATTATATATAAAAAACTATATGTACTGATATATAATAATTCAATAAAAAATAATTACTTCGATAAAAAAATTTAAAAAAATAATTAGCTAAAATAAATTAATAATCCAATAAAATAACATTTAGTATATGAAGAAAATAATAAATTGAACGTAATAATACAATAAAAATAATTAAAATTACAAAAATTAACTAAAAAAATTAATAATCCAAATATTTATTATGATATAAATATTATATATTAAAAACTATATGTATTGATATATAATAATTTAATAAAAAAATTACTCCAACAATTTTTTTTTTAAATCAACTAAAATAAATTAATAATCCAATAAAAAAATATTTATTAATATATAATGTTATATATTAAAAATAATATTTATTAATATATAATACTTTATTAAAATAAAATAGAATATATGCAAAAATAGTCCTTATAGTATAGTAATAGACAAAACTGTGAAAATGGTCCCTGGGGGTAAAATTGTCATTTTAAGGAACTTAACGGATGAGAGACCAAAACCATAACAAAACTTATTGAAAAGGACCAAATCTGCAACTTTTCAAACGTTTGGACCATAGCCACAAAAAATAAGAAACCACAGGGACCATTTTTGCAGTTTTGTCCGAATTAAAATACTTAGTTTTAGACAAAGATAAATCTAGTACTTAGATATTTAGAATATGCTTATCTGAAATTGAAGGTGTACGAAAGAACATTTACTTTAGAATATGTTTATCTGAAATTGAAGGTGTATGAAAGAACATGTACTTTAGCTTTTGCTGTTAGTTATGTATGCACGTTTGTATGACTTAGGGATGAGAATTTGGCCCGGAAATCCGAACCGAACCGAACCGAATTGGACACGAATAAGCAATTCGATTCGGTTTTCAGCTATCTATATAAGGCTTATTCGGTTTTCGGGTTATTCGGTTCAGGTTACTCGAATAAGGGCTTATTCGGTCCAAAAAGACCGAACCGAATATAAAAAGTCACATTTTTTTTCCTAACATGATTGCTTATTCGATCTTCTTTTCTATCGATCGTTACCCAACAAAATCCACATAATACACCCACAAAATCAACGCAATTGAATTCGATCATCCGTATTACACCAAATCGACGAGTCGACAACATTACTCTTTGATCGATTGAGGTTTTTCTCATCCTTGCGACATTAATCTTTGATCGACAGTTGTGGCTACTGCCTTTGCGACTTACGGTAACCTGGACTCATTGATCGTTCATCACTGGTTCAAAGTTCAAACTTCAAAGTCCATTTACGATAAGAAAAAAAAAAAAGTCGGCCCTTGCGTCTGGAAAAAATAATCGTCTCATCATCGTTGTTTTCTAGTTTCTACTATGATCAAACTCCATTCAAGTCATACAAAATACAATACTTATAATCACATTGTAAATGTTATTCGGATTATTTGGCTCCTTAATCATCTTCTACATGTTATTTGGGTTATTCGGGTCGGAACCGAACCGAACCGAATAATACCCGAACCGAACCGAACCCGTATTGCTTATTTGGTTCGGTTTTCGGTTCATACAATTACCCTTATTCGGTTTTCGGTTTATTCGGGTTCGAATCGTTTCGGTTCGGTTCCGACCCGAATAACATCCCTAACATTTGTGGGTAAAGGTCACTAACAGTCAAATTCTTAACATTTAAAAAGCTTAAAGTATTTACTCACAAATTGCTTTCTTAATTGTTTATTATTTTATACAATTTACTTTATAACTTATTTTTAAAGACTCTTTTAAATAGATTATACAATGAGCGTTCATTATGCAATTGAGATATACACGAAACCTGGACATTGCATATCTTCTTTTTCGTATATCAACCTTTTAGATCTCTAACGAATTAGTAAAATTATATGATCACATTTATTTTAACCAACTCATAGGATCATATGCAACATCATACAATGGTGTACAAACTTATTCTAACATGTTAGTATTGGATTCCCTATTTGTTTCTTTTGAATTTTAATGAGTTGATGAAATGATTCAAGTCTTGAAGGTGCGAATGGACTATAGAACTCATATTTATCACTAGATTCGATAATGGTGCGTGTTATTGTAAGGTTAAACGTTGTTTCTTTTACGATGGAATCATCTTGTATATTTTAGATGGTTTATTTTGTTTCTCAAATTTACTTTCATGAATCAGCGAATGTGTCATAAAAAGTTTCTTCAATAGATTGTCTTTTTTTTTTTTTTTTGAATACTCGTACGATTTGAGATCATTGAGCACATGAAACACCACCCTCCAACCTCAAATATATTTTTCCTAGATGATTTATTGTTAAATATGAAACTAAGGCTACCAAATTTATGAAAATAGCTTAAATTTTTATTTCAACCCTTCAAAACTTCATATGTCGTTTTTCCATGCCTTTTCAGTTTTCACTAGTAGCGCTAACAACTAGGGATGAAAGTGAGTCCAAACCCGGAACGGTTAATGGGATTTTGAAGAACCGGAAACCGGACCGGTATGTAAGAACCGGTTCCGGTTCGGTTCCTGGTACGGTACCGGGTAAAGTGGGTCTAGAGCCGGATAACCCGAAAACATCAAAGTGGGTAGGTTGGAACTGAATAAAGTGAGTTTAGAACCGGAAAACCCAAAAAAACCGGAATTTTTTGGTAATTACTTACTACTTAGTGGGTTAAACTTTGAAAATTTTCATATTGATATCCTGACTTTTGGGGACTGTAACTCATTGAATATGAAACCAAAATTAACAAAATTATAGTCTAAAATCATATCCAAACTCTTAAAATACACTCTGGAAAAAACCACATGTCAATTCGACTTTAAACGAATGAGATATGCATGTATTAACATTTTCACAGAATACAAAGTACAAAAACAAATAGCTAAAAAGTTGAACATTTTCAGTTTTGATATCCTGACTTTGGAGGACTGTAAATTATTAAATATTAAACCAAAAATAACAAAATTATAGTTTAAACTCATGTACAAACTATAAGCTACAAGTTGGAAAAAAAAATCACATGTCAATCCGACTTTAAACGAATTAGATATGCATGTTTCAAAACTTTCACCGAATACCAAAAAAAAAAAAAAAAAAAAAAAAAAACTAAAAACTTCCAGCTTTGATATCTCGACTTTGGGGGACTGTAAGTCAATGAATATAAAACTAAAAATGACAAATTTATAGTCTAAAATCATGTACAAACTCTAAAGTACATGTTGGAAAAAACTGCATGTCAATATGAGTTGAAATGAATAAGATATGCATCTTTTAAACGTTTCACAAAAACCGGTTCCGATCCTAAAAGTGGTTCCGGTTCCAAACACCGGTTCCGGTTTTTAGACCCGGTTTACCCGGACCCGATGGACTCAAACTCGGATTACCCGGAACCCGGATAAAACCAATTTTTAAACCCAGAACTGGAACCGGGTTTATATATTCCGGTTATAACGGTTTCGATTCCGGTTCTGGTTTGGTTTTTCCGTTCTAAATCTCATCCCTACTAACAACTTTTTTGTTAAACAGTTTTTTTTCAATTATATTTCAATCGGGTTTTTAATGTTTTTAATCGGTGACGTCTAATTGATTTTAACCGATTGAACCGGTTAATTGTTTTTAAGGTAAATGACCTGATCCGACTCGACCATCGAAATTGTTGTTGATTTTTTTATTGGTTTCACTTAATTTGGGAACCATATGAATTTTTGTTTTAGATTCGCCACTGAATATACTTTATAATTCTTAAAATATATATCAATTTTGTTAATTTGTATTAGAAATTTAGAGATAATAGATTCATATATTTTAATGGTTAATTTAATGTATAATGTATTTTCGTGATAATGACCTATTCTGTCATCTCGCCTTGCAAGTAATTACATAATTTCGAAGACCACCGATGATCTGGACACTTTACAATATAATTACAAGAACTTTAACAATCCCATGTTGGGAGTCTCCAAGTACAGTGCATAAAGTAACAATATAATAATGAAATATGATATTACCAAAAAGAAATAATTTCTAAAGGTGTATAAACACTTCTCCCTTTGTTCTATCATATATGAACATTACAAGAAATTTAAAACCTTCTAGATTCATACCATTTTGCCATTTTCTATTCTACCTTTATTAAGAAAGTAATAAATTGATTATATAATGTTTAATATTGTATTGAATCAAATATGTAATTTCATGGAAAAGAAAGCGTGGTTCTACTTCTACAACAAAGCAATGCATCTTGTAGTGTTGCTTATACAGGAGGCAAAGGTGAAGTTTCTCACTTTAGAAAAACAATAGATATATTAGACGGAAAATAAGACGAATAATTTTTTTTTATAGTAATTCAATGTCATCAAGTATTAACGTAAAATAAAATTAAATTAAATTAAAACTTGCGGGCGATTGGTGTCGTGAGTTTTTGAAAATAAATTTAGCAGCTGATAATAAATACATATAATTAAAAAGTAAGATTCATAATAAAATATTTAAAACTTATTCAAAAAAAAAAAAACCCGATAACGTACTATCTAAGAGGTCGCCCACATATAGATAAATAGAGATACTAGCCATATATTTAGTGAGCCAAAATTTAAACCTCAAATTCCATGTGTAAAATTTCACACTCAATCTCTCTAATACCGACAAGTTGCATCTCTCGGGGCTGGGGACCTTCACGATGGCAAGAAGGTCCACATTGACAGTTTGATAACCCTTTGCGGGTTTTATTTTGCAATCTATTTTGAATATGAACATTTTTAAAATTCTTTTATTGTGCTTTATTATTAACTAGTGTAGGTGCCCATGCTTTGCATGGGTTGGATGTGAATTACATCGCAAAAACATATAAAAAATAATAATACAAAATAAAATTAAATAAACTCAAAGAAAGTAAAATGTTTTTTAAGTATCTCAATAACATTTAGATTCCTTTGAAGCTCGCCTCCTTCTTTAATTTCCGATACCAAGTGACTGCATACGAAGCAAAAACTTGTTTGTTTGAAGGTCATGCTCACCGAAATACAACTTTGTAAACAATTAAATTACCAAGAAGAACAAAAAGAAGAAGCTCTCAAGTGGGTTTACATAAAAAAAAAGCTTAAGAATTTGTGAACAAAAATTACATCAAATAATAAATTTAACACACTTGCACTCATGAAAATTATTATTCAAAAGCATCCGAAATTTTTAACATCATTTTTACCCAACTAATCTACATTTAGTTATTTAACACTTGGCTTTGTAAATACCATTGAAAACGATCTTTTCATCTGTAGCTAAATTAGTTGGAATTTTATCCTATAAGTAATTCATATTTACAACTTTCTTCAACGTGGCTTTTGTTAACTCGAAAAAAAAATCCAAAAACTAATGCTCTTGCACAAACCATATAATATAAAAGGAAAACCGACAATATATATTTTCAAATAAAACAACAATCACAAAACGAATATATCAAAAAGATATATAAAGCTTAAAACAATTCTCAAGACTTAATTACAACAACCAAAAACTATCATATAGCTTGAAAAAAAAATTGTTGCTTGCTCAAATGATAATTAAATCAAATAATGAATTTAAAAGATTTCTAATGATGAAGATGCTTATTTAAAACATTTGATCAGTATGAATATGAAGCTAGTTACAATTACCTCTTTAGCTGCAAAACAGAAGTATACTTCAACTTTATGTCCTAACCAACCTACAAATTGGCTTAAACTGAATCAAATAGTTTATCAGTTTAGTAAAATCCATACATGGTTCATCCATTCGAAATACACGGTTAATGTTTATCATAACTTTTGCAAGATGTAAGCAAGGTCCAAATGGTAATTAATGAAAAAAAGAAAGTAATTAATTACCTTATAACATGGTTTCCCTTTATTATCAAAAGGATTTGGCTATGGGATTGCATGCTTTTCTGTAAGTATTGTGAACTTATCAGAATAAGCACTCACACTAATTGGTGCCTGCATAATGATTATATTTTTACCCGATCTCTGAATATTGTGATTGAAGGAGCTTAAATAGTGCAAATGTGCAATTGCACATCAAACACTCCTAAAAGATCAAAAAAGGTCTGATTTTCAACTTCAAATTTTTCCTGAATTGCGATATAAAAGATAAGTTATAACACATGCACTTCATATAAACAATGGGGTATTTCAATGTCCTGGGAAACAACAAAAGTGAGCTAAAATTGAGTTTCACACAATTGGTTTTGGATGTTATATCCAAACACTATCACATACAGTTCATTTCAGCTGATTACTTAATCCTATTACACAAATACTCAAAATCAGATAATTTCCAAATTCCAAATCAAATTTGTTAGTAAATGCAAAAGCTTACCAGAATCGAACAAAGGATTGACTTGAAAAAAATTCGAGTAGGTTGACAAAGGTACCGAAATTTTAGAGCTATGTACCTTAGAAATGGGGGGGGGGGGGGGGGGTAAAGCAACCCATGTTGCCCCTTTTTGTAGTACCTCAGTAAGACTTCTTTCAGACATGCAAAGAACGACCTAATTGACATGTTAACAGTGCTACTACTATCGTTTGATTGTGAACTGCCAGCAACATCACAGATGACGAATTAAGGCATGAAAACGATAAATTACTACTTACCGGGGCGTCGTCGTTTGATTTTAGAGAAGGGGTGTGATCGTCGATCGATTTTAGACAGTCGAGTATACACGAAGTCGAACACCAGTCAATTTTCGATTCGATTTTCAGCAAAACAAAGGTCGTAAAGACCAACGGAAGGGAGTCGTCAGGCTGAAGTCAACCGGCGGGCGGCGGACGGTGACTCTGTGTCTACGAAAATATAGAGAAACCAGTGGCTTCTTCAACCTCTGTTTCATCACCATCAGTCACTTTAAAGCTCGAATACATAGATAATAGCGGGGTCCAACGACCCGAAAATGTGTAGTAACCCAGCAGAAAAGGCGAGCGGTGGAGTAGACATTGAGAATTTAGAAGCTGATGATGGAGGCGGTGGATCGGTGGACAAAATAACCTTGGTTGAGTTAAAAGCATCCTATGAACAGTAACCCGGGTTAGGTACTGTTCATAAGGATGTTGTGATTTAATTATATGTTTAATTATTTCTTATGACTAAAGAAAAATGTATTTAAGATCGGGGTTAGTCAACACATTTTTGTTTTTTTGTTGTATTTTAAATGTATTGATATTGCATTTTATTTTATTTTTGTTTGATAAACAAATTAAAATGTTAAAATTAAGCATTAAGTTGTAAATATTTATTGGTAACATTATTTTAAAATAAAAATGTTGACAAATATATTACGTAGCACTAAATTTTTGTTAATAATGGTAACATAATTTTTTTTAACACACTAAAAAGTTAAATCTTGTCGGACAAGATTTGGAAGAACTTGTAGGTATCTTATGAACCCTTATTACATGTAATCCATATATCATCCCAAGATGAATTTCCTCGTCTATGAGCCGTTCGGTATGAATTTATTTATAAAACTAGTTTATAACTCGTAAGAACTACGGTTATAAAATTAATTAAATTTTTATATTAAAAAGTCAAATTAATTAATCAATTATTTAAAAAAAAATATTATTTAAGAAATATTTTTTATTTATATAAAGGGAATTATAATCAATGATTTAAATAAATATGTGAAGTTATATCACCTTATAATCTATATTAATTTCATTTTATTTTTCAATCTAATGTTATTAATTTAATATAATTAAAGTGAGAAAATTAAAATTTCGAAATTTAAAATGAGGAATCAACTATTAATTTAATGTAATTAGAGTGGAAATTTAAAATTTGAAACTTGAAATTGATAATTAATAGATTGACAAGTGGCATGATAGATGATATATAACATTAATGAGGAGTCCTAATTGTATGACACTTGTGAATAGGAGATTAAACTTATTTTTTATTAGAATAGGGATGTTTATGCTTTCCCTTTGGGACATGGCATGTTGGAGCCTCAACATAGCGTGTTGAGATGTCATTGACCACGGATTTTAACAAGCCCACACCACGTGTGGAGGTGCCTCAACACGGCGTTTTGGCAGCTAAGAAGGAAAACCTAATTTTTATGATGTTGCACCCTATTTAAATGCCTTAAGTCCCCTTGATTAGGGATGTTAATTCCATCCGACCCGGTGGGGAACCCGGTTGACCTGCCCCAATCGGGGACAAGTATTCCCCACAAAAACGGGTACCATGTACGGGGCCAGGGATCCCCATTATGCTAAACTCAGGGATGGGGTCAGGGCCGAGTATAACAATCCCCAACCCCCCCCCCCCCCCCTTTGATGACTATAATATTAGTGTGTGTGTGTGTGTATATATATATATATATATATATATATATATATATAATATTAGTATATTGATCATTTATCATTTATTGAATTTGAATTAAGTCCAATAAAATGAATTGATCTATATTAGACCATTAGAGATAGAGTCCATATACGAAATTATGTTTCAAATTCCAAGAGTTCATCAATCGTCACTTTGTTCGTCGATCTGTATACCAAATCGACACTTTTTGTTTTGATGCTTGTTAAACTTTATGATTGATTTAAAAAGAATCTATTTATGGCATATGGTTTTGATCACTTATTAAACTTTGTTTTTTTGTGTAAGTTCAGTTTATTATGTTGATAGATTGGGGATGGCCTGGGAATGGGATGCGGAAAAGCCCAAAATACAAATGGGAGGGGATTTGATTCCCCCCATCCGTTGGGGATGGGGATGGGGATGTGGACGAGGCTAGAAACTCAGGGATATGGATAGGGATGGTCAACCCCGCCTCAAATCCGCCCTATTTCCATCCCTACCCTTGACCGACCTCCTTACCAGCCTTCTTGGTTATATGAAACCCTAAATCGAGTTTTAAGCTTTGTTGGTGGTGTTTTTGAAGTTTTGAGTGGATTATTGTGCTATTTTGAAGGAGTTTTGTAGTTTGAAGGTGCCTAGCTTGGAAGGAAGGTTTTAGATCCAGAATCTCACCACTTATGGTAGTTTCCTTGAGGTATCAATTTTGAACCTTGATCTTTAGATGTTTAGATCTCCTTATTCCATGTTTTGGTCGTTTTTGGATGGTTGGAGGAGTTAATTTGGTCGTTTTGAGGACTTGTCATTTCAGATCTGAGTTTTTCTTGGCCTTCTTATGCTTAAAGTTACAAGCTTCATGTGAGGAATTGGTCCCATGCATGCATTAAGTTCCATTTTAAGCTTAAGAGCTTCTTTTAGGCATGCACAAACATAAAGCTGCCAACTTTATGTGATTCTCTAGCTTAATTAGGTCAGATATGTGTTTTGGGGATTAGACTCATGAGTTAAGTGCTTATTAGATTAATCCTTGTGCTTTTAAGCTTTAGGGTTTGGGTTTTGGACCCTTTTTAGTGATGTCTATGGGTAGAGTTGGAAACTTTACCCTTCTAAGTTTCCATTTGAGTCCAGATCTGAGGTTGGGAACACTTGATGTAGAAGGAAACGACTTAATATATTAAGTTGTTAGAGCTCGAGGAAACACGACGTGTTTTCAAGGAAACACACCGTGTTGGATGGGATTTTCTAGCCTGTATCGATAAAGAGGAAACACGGCGTGGTGAAAGAGAACCACAACGTCTTGGGTCAACATGGGTTGTTGGTAGTTTCATTTTATTACTTCTTTTCATAGGTTTTTTTAGTTAAAACCATTTCATTTTAGTTAATTTCCATGCATATATTCTCTTTTTTTTATTTTTCTCCTTTATAGGATATTTCCAGTCTTTTGAACTTATTTGCAGGATTTACCGAAGACTATTTGTCATTGGAGGTATGGAAGGAGTATGGGACTATTGGAGGCTTGCGATTTGCTTATGGACTTGAAGTGGTGCGATTGGGCTTGGTTTCAATATAAAAAAAAGCGTGTTGGACTTAATTTTTGGACGAGACGACGAGGACTCGAGCTAAGGAAGATTAAAGGAGCACTGGATCATCTTTAAAGGCTTTAGAAAAGCATAATTGGGCTCCCAAGAAATTGTGCAAATGGGCTGAGATATTAATGAAAAGATTTGGTTGGTGTATTAATTAAATGGGCCAAGGCACCCATACAGTGAGACCCACGCGGTCTGCGTGGATCCACAAATGGTTCGCGTGGATCGTGCTGTGAAGGATCCAAGTTTTTGCCATGAGTCTCTACATTGGGAAGGTTGGTGGATTACTTTTCGCTAACTTTTAGATCTGGAAATAAGCCCCTTTTACTGAAGATTTTGAATGGAGTTGCAGTATAACACTCTCAAGAACAACTCTCTTTGCTCTCAAGAAGGTCTTGGAAGAAATTGAAGATTTAGAAGATTAGTGTAATTTCATTTCATCTTGAAACTTGAACTATATTTGGTACCTCTATACTACTTTGCATTTCTTTCATTTTGGCCATTCTTGGCTAGACTTACATTTGGTTGATTAGGGTTTAGCCCATGGATGATTGGTTGTTTTGAAGACTTATGCTATTTTGTGTTTGAAGTTTATGGAAATGTTTTCTAGTCAAACATATTCTTGTGTTTATTTATCCTTGATCATGAATTTTGATGAGTGAATGCTTACTTTTGTTGACTAATTTCTAGGTTAAGTAATGGACCCTCAAATTAGTAAGAAACAAATTGTTTCTATGTTTGTTTTCATTTCATTTAAACCATGGAAATGTTTCCTCCATAATGATAATGTAAGCATTTGATGATCTTTTAGACTTTGTAATTACTCTTACAACGTAAAGCTAATTGATTTTCACAATATTATATGCTTCATTGATTTTGTGAATTTAATTAAGGGAATGTGTTAAGAGCTCCTCTAATCATTTTAATAACAATGAAGAGTTAAGGTAATTTATGCTTATGAATTGCTATAGCGAAGTTAAATTAATTCATAAGTGTTGTTCCATTTAGTCTAATGATAAGTCAACTATGTCATCCATGTGATGTATCCCAAAATCAACCAACTTTACTTCATTGAACTTAACCAAATCATTTACTTGTTTACTTGTCATATTTACATTCTAGCTTAGTTTTAATTTTCTCAAGCAATCAAAAAGATTAAAACACCCTTGCCATTTTACTTTCACTCTTGTTTTATAAGTACTTGAACAATTGATTTACATAGAGATTTAAATTGAACCAATCTTCATGGATACAATTCCTTTACCACTATACACTATTTTAGTGTGTAAGATTTAGCGTATTTATTTTGTTGGCATCGACAACCACCAAATTTTGGCGTCGTTGTCGGGGACTGGTTTATTTTTAATCAATTTGTTTCTCTATGCCCAGATCTCAATGTACAGGTGCTTTGATTTATAATATTAAAATTGAAAAAGAAGCAAGGCGTTTGGGGAAGGAAAAAAGAATAGAACGTGGTCAAACTTCAACTCCTCACGGGGATCCAAAGATTAAAACCGCTTCATCAGGTGACACGGAAGCCGATTCTAACCCTGACCCTCACCAAGAAATTCCCGAAACACCACCCTTTCAACAAAATCTACCCTTCATTAAACCAATTGTAATGGGGGACAGCGGACAAGCTCCTGAAAGAACCTTGAGGAAAATGATGGAAACCGATGTTACCTAAACTCCAATTGGTATCAATTTCCCTATTTTGGAAGGAGGTTCGAAATTGAAGTCAAGCTTAGTCCATCACCTTCCAACTTTTCATGGATTAGAGAATGAAGAACCTCATAATCACTTGAAGATGTTTCACATTATTTGCACTAGTATGAAGCCACAAGGTGTGACATCCCCCAAATCTCGGCCAGAAAAGACCGATTTTCATTTATGCTTTTAAAATAAATTCAGAGTAAATCCTTTTGATTTGAAAGAGTTGAGGAATTTGTTCCCAAAAACAAAATATGATAAAACAATGTTTACCAAAGCATTTCATAAAAGAAATGTATTTTTCATATATATAATCAAAACTCGGGGTGTCATGTTCCGATATAGACCAACAAGCATAAACGATAACATTACAAGTCATTCAACAAATATTTACATATACAGAC